TATATATACACATACACACACACACACACTTAACACAGCATAAGAATAAAACTACAACAACCGTATATTAACGCGCGTTTATTTAAATTTAAAATAAACATTTTTATGCAAATAACATTTTAAAAAACCATTTATTCAAGAAGCACATAAAACTTTTTGTATTAAGAAAAGTAACAAACTACTTTCTTTATAAACATGCAAATTAAATAAACATAAAAAATTTTAAAAAATATTTACATTATTAAGACATTTTTAACGAGAACAAACACAAACAAAAAAGAGCCACCAATTCAGCATGCAAACACAGCATTAAACTCATTTTTAAAGCCATAGTCTGAGTCACCAATTGAGATATCTGACGCAGTGAGCCGTGTGTGTGTATAGATTATAGATGGCGAGATTTCTCGGAACTGAGAACACCTTGGGGAAGGAAAAAAGCAATGCAGTTACACTAGTTTCATTTTGTCACATTAAAACTGGACAAAGCTTCCAAAAGAAATAAAAGGAAAAGGCAATACAGTTACGTAGCATTAACATCTTAAAGGAGTTTCCTTCTGTGGTAGGATTAAAAATATAGAAGCCTACGAAATTTTCATTCAAGAGATACATCACAAGGTGACGACGCTAACCGCTCCTAGCCTCTCTCCTAGTGGCATCGTGCAACAATTCAATGTCCACCCCTTCTGGAGGTAATTGCACGTATCTCACTACCGAACCTCTGATGAAGCAGTTTCTTACTGAAAGCTGACATCAAACACCCACACGTTATCAACTAGAATACCAAAAGAATAAAAAATCTAATCATCGTTATAGGTATTCAAGTCGGATACACCAAATTAAGGGAGCTAAATAAAATAATTAACCGGAGAAAAAACTTGGCGACATATATTTCTTTTTTCTTTTTAATTCAATAGGAGATTTGACCACTTGGTATAAATCTTCCTTGATTCTAAGGTTTCCTCGTATGCACATCAGTATTCAGCACTCTGTTTAGCAATGATATCCTAAAAGTGAGTATCTTATTCTATTTTGGCACCATACTTTCCTATATCTTCTACAATCAAACTCACTATACTCATTTTCTTAATGGCATACCAACATAACTTTAATTCAATCGAGCATCCACTTTAAAAACAGCAAGTACCAAACATATATAAGTTCCAAAATCTCAATTCACATACCTTCGAATTTCCAATAATCTACGAGATACAATTTATAACAACTTCAATCTCTCCATATTCATAAAACATAAGAGAAAATTTGAAGTAGGAAAGCTGACCATTAACAGCCTCATTCGGATCCTTAAACTTTTTTCCCACTATTGCTAGAAGAATACCAATTAATTGATTGTCCTACTCTTAGAAAATGTAGATGAAGTAAAAGGTCACCTATAATAAATCCGTTATGCCTTGACATTTAGATTTGATGTGCCAAAAGCAACTTATCAGATGCAAACATAGGCAAACACTTTCAATAAAAGACCATTTCGTAGAAACACATGAACAGGCATATAGAAGAGTGTAAAGTATCAAGGGCATACATTTTTCTCTTTATCTTTTTATTTTAAATCCTTGCAGAGTGTAGGCACCACTCCTCCAGTCACTAATAACTTTATTATTTTAGATAATAGTAGATACAAACAACACTTATAAGGATTCCTATCGAAACCAAGAAATATAGGCCTGCCTGCCTTCCACACCAGACCAGATGAAGTTTTCCGAAAAAAAAAACTACTGGAGGAGGGAGACCACTTATTGATTTAAGAAGAAACTTGAAACCACTCTCAATCGCATATAAACATAAAACTAATGGAGAACGTACGCTAAATGCTAAATATAAAAGACAGGTTCCCTTTTACTTGCTTTCAAATGAAGTTTTCTACCAGAACTACCAATTCACATATACTGATGTACAATTAAAAATCATAATCAACAACAACGATTCAAAATTAACCAATAAAAAAGGCACATCAATACTCAATTCAAATCCCAGATACAGAAAATCCCATTATTTAACATGGGTCCAATGCTTATTAAACATACTTAATTGAAACAAACTTTAAATTAAAGAGTACTAAACTGGAGTTGTTATGATCTAGATAAGAGGAAGGGGGAAAGGTCAGGTGTGAGTTCAAAGTTCAAAAACCCAATATCTACATCAGACACCGAGAGCCTAAGAGAATGTTACGACTCAAAAATCCGATTTTATTCCAAAGGACAGAAAGAAACCCTACGAACAAAGGTTATCAGTGGCTCCTCGACAACAGGGAAATTCATTTAATCGTAAACTCTACATCCAAGTAAACTCAATTAAACCCTAGAACGAGAGAGAGAAATGGAATACCATGTGGGGGTACTTGTCTTGATCAACGACGCGAGTGTTTTCGAGCTTGATGTTGAGGTACTGATCAACGGAATGCAATGTCCCTCTGATGGCCAAATCGTTCTTCAGCTCTACGGTTACTTCTCTTCCCACCAAATCCTTGAAGTACGAGAAGAACAACTACAACACAACCCAATTCATCACTGTTAAAAAAACCAGAACGAAGAAAACAGAAAACAGAAAAGAAAAGAAAGAAATCTGTACCATGTTTGCACGGAGGGAGAGAAAACGAGGCTGCGGTGGAGGAAAACCAAAAGCTGCTACTGCGATTATGTAACCTTGTTCTCGCTCTATTCTATATATTCAGTAGTAATTAAAACCTCGATTATAAGATTTCATTTTTCAATAAAATAAAATGTTAGATGCAAGGCAAAATAATATTAAAAATACTTGAAATTTAATACAAATATTAAAATAAAAGCATATAATGCTAAAAAGATGGAGATTAGTAAAAATTATTACACAAATTAAGAGAAAATAAACATAAAATATACATTATTTAATTTCATTATATGGATAATAAAAGAAGTCATTTTATTCATAATATGGTTCTTTCGTAATATAGAAGATGATCTTAATAATAAAAATTAAATTTTAGTTAATATCAATTATTTTTAAATATAATCGTGTTATCATAGTCATCCTAGTAAATAACTTATATTATGGTGCGTAAGCAAAAACAGAAGAAAATATAGTTAATTAGAATTAAAATAGAAACCTAACTAACTAATATAATATAAATAGATTGTTTTTTTTCTACTATATTATCTATTTATCTAGACATTCTATATAAAATGTAAAAAGACTTTAAGGAAATCATCTAATAAATTTCACTTTGACCTACATTTTCTGTCAATATTAACCTTTAAACAAATGTGTCACTTTTTTTAATGGTTCATGGACTAATTCTAACTTATCCTTCATTATGTTCCTTTTTAAGGAATTCCAAATGAGGGAGTCAAAAACAAGTTTCAACCTCGAAGCTTTAATGTGAATTTCACTCCACTAAAATACTTTCACTATTAACTCTTAACAGTAATACTTTAAGTATAAGTCAAAGATAAAGTTGAGTCGTCTTAGGCCTGCTCAGACCAAAATTTGAGATGAATCGACCCCCAGCCAAAAGACGAGACAGGTTGACCCAAAGGCCAAAACAGGGCAACCTAGGTTGAAGGACAACAAGGGTTGAGTTGGGTGAAGGTCGAGACAGGTCGACCTAGGATGTACGTCAAGACAAGTCGACATTGATAGATGACAATGATAGGATGGCTCACGCCAACGATCGAGACGGGTCAATATAGGTTGAAGGTTAAGATAGGCAGGTCTAGGCTAAAGGTTGAGACACATCAACCCTATATGACGTCCGTGACGTAACTATACGGGTCCATGACTAAGAAGGAGATTGTTAGTGGTTGAAATCGAGGATCATAATTTCTTGAGGGAAAACTCAATCACTGGGAGTGGAAGGACTATTCAGTCTAAGAAAATCTCTCATAAGAAAGATAGCTATAGTGGTTGTTTTACCTCCTTAATTGTCAAGGTTATAACATGTGTTTCACGTCTCCCAATTACGAAAATTTGTATTAAATCCTACACATGTTTTGGAAGTAGATAAAGTCCAAGTTAAGGAGAATTTATTAGTTGATACTCATCTGGTAAGAATATAGGAACATCGAATCAGACAACTAAAAAGAAAGGAGGTTAATCTAGTTAAAGTATTATGAAATATTAAGTCAGATAATGTCACGTGGGACTTAGAAAGAAATGAGAAATTCATATCCTCATCCTAAGTTAATATTTTAGGACGAAAGTTTTTGTTTAGTTAGGGACTATATGAGAACCTTAAAACTTAAAACAAAAAATGCACACAATCGAAAACACTTCTCCTTTTCTCTCACAAACCCTTCCTCTAAGATGTTTGCTTATTCTCTACAAAATTTGACTTTTCTTCTCTTTTAACTCAAGAATCAAGATACCAATATCATATTCACATCAAAAACAACATATTTCACATATTAGTTTCTTTATAGGGTGAGTCTCGATTTTTTTTTGTCCTAAGTGTTTTTGGGAATGGTTAGATGTAACATGCAAGTAAATTTCTAGTTGCATGTGGTTATGAGTTTGATTTCTATTTTCCTTAATTTGTTGGAATTTTAGGAGTATGCTTAGATAATCAATCTAAGCTCCTTTCGTGTTTAGGCGTTTTTCTTTGGGAGGTTTTGGGTACAAGGACAGTTGAACAGAACACACATCTAAAGGTAAGGGAAGATGACTATGATTTTTTTTATATTTAAATAATGATTGAAAATATGTTAAATGGTTTAATTGAAGTATATATGTTTGACTTGGGATAAAATTGATATGAAAGTGTGAAAATTTTAGTGGGTAACCTTTTGTTTGGTTAAGTTTGGATGAATTAAATTGTTATTGTTTGTTTGTAAAATCTGAAATGTGTAACTTATTGGTTTGAATTTTGCATCTCGTAGTCAAATTCGCAGTTTATGGAAGAATCCACGTATTACTGTTGTGAAGTCTACATCCTGCAGCCAAATACACAAGTTGTGGGAAATTCCACAGGTTGTTTGTGGAACATTATGTTTGCTTTCTTCGCTTTTGACATTAACTCGAGCCATTTCTTTGTTATGTGTTGCATTGTGTTCTTTGTGTTTCATGAATTTTGACGGGTTGTTCTTGAACTTTGGTATGTTAAAATGCTTATACATATAATTGTGATGCTCAAGATAGTGTTTCTAAAGTGGAATGCTATTGTATCTTGTTATTTGTAAGATGTATTTGTGATAAGTACAGAGGTGAGATTGTTCTAACTCTTTTAGTAATTTGAGTCACTAGACAAACTTTTTTAGTAGTGAGAGTCAAAATTTACCCTGTATTGCTCAATAGATTGGAAAAAGTTGTCTATATACAACATAGTTATAACTGTTTAACACAAGAAAAATTGAACAAACACAAGTGCAAAATTTTATAGCATTAACCAATACACCGGTCCTCCAAAGGTGGAGTCTATTGAGTGATGATGTATGATTGTTTAAAGTAGAACTTATCGACATAAAGAATATCTTACAATCTAGACTATATTATTATAAATCAATGTTTATGATACTTTTCTCTTATTTAAAACTTATAAATTTTAAATTATATCTAGCTTACCATGTTTGTGTTTTGTATTGTTCTTTTGCTATGACTGGTTTTTCTACGAGAGTAGAGGAGAATGTAGAATTTGGAAAAGAACAATGTTGAAAGTTTAGTAGGGATGATGAAGTACAAAAGTAGTTTGTTCTTTTGAACATCCATGAGCTATGATGTTATGTATCAATTACTCCATATTATCTATGATGTTTTGGAATACTTTAGTCGTCTATAATGAAGCACATTATAGTTTGTGCACGAAATGGAATATTCTATAAATGTGAAAGCAAATTTTTAGGAAGTATCAGAATTGAAAGATGTTGACGCCATAATGAATAATGAATGGCATGGTCCAGAAGGTACGGTTCTGAGGAGCAAACCCAGAAATAATGCGAATGCTACGGTGGCTTAACTAGTTTGTGCATTAGCATAATCGGTAGAGAAACAAAGAGATGCTAGATGAAGACTGTGAAATGTTAAAGAGTACTAACACGCTGCTAAATTGAATAAAAATACAAAAACAAACGGGGAAGTAGCGATCAAATCAACAATTTCCAGACATGTTTTCCAGTAAAAAGGAATCCTTAAGATATTACAGAAGAAACCTACGTCAAACAGAACGGTAACAGCAACAACACAAATTACATTTACATCTCTTACACAAGAATAAGCTAAGAAATTTAAAATTTGCCTCTGATCCTATAAAAGATTATATATATTTTCCCATCAACTACACACTCGATCTTTTAAAACGGAGAGTAGAAGAGGGTTGTACAGAAAGCTGTTCAGTGTTGAAACTAGAGCCTTTGCTTCACCCGCCTCCCATTTATGTCACTGCCATCAAGTAGTGCTTCATTCCTATGCTTGCACATGAAGTCCGAATGCTCAGTAAATCTGGCCACGTACTCCAATAGCTCAGTCAGAACAGATGGGCAACTTTCCTTCAAGTACTCAAATCCGTCAGTTTGCATCACAGCTGAAGAATCAAAAGATGAAATACAATGGTTAATAATAAGAACTTTATGGATGCGGGATTAAGAAAGTTATCAACAATTTCATTCCAGATGGCCAGTGTTAACAATAGTAAACTCTTGTAATAACCATCTATAATAAACGTGTTTTACATGAGTACCAAGTATTTCAACCATTAAACCAAAATCCTGGAAGAAGTTAACTGATTGTTCCATGATCTAGGCACCTTTTTGTCTTCTATTTCAATGAAAAATTACATGAGAAAATGAAGCAGAAAGCAAACTTAAACATTTACAAAGAGAAAAACTATTCATAAAGGTTCTGGTATAAATTAATGGTGACACAAGTCTTTGAGGTCAACTTGGGACAACCAGAAGCTTTAGCATGGGTTAATAATTAGTTACATAGAAAACATCACTTTAAAGTAAAACCATATGATCCCTTTAAAGCTTAACAGTTTTTTCATGCAAATACAAACAGGAAGACAATGACGACAATTGACAGCATCACTACTGATATTCAGTAACAACTCTAACTTGCAGACAACTGTCACAGACCCCCTCAAATACTGCACACTTCTTCTGGTAATTATTCAGATGGGAAAAACAAACCTCTAAGATTTTCAGAAGTAGCAATAAACTTGAGACAAACAGCTTTCAGTTGGAAACAATGGTGCTGCTCTGCCAAGGCTAAAGTTGTAGCCACAGTATTAATTGCTACATCTTCACAAAGACTTGCTTCACACGTCAGCCTAAGCCTCTCTAGGCCGTACCGATCAGCTGCTGCTAGAAGATGCTGAGCCATCAAGGTTGATGCCCACTTTGAGTTCAACCCAGTAAGCTCATGCATATCTGGTAGTGAGTCCCAGTATATAAAATGAAGCAATGCCTGAAAAATAAAGACACGACACAACTGACAAAACATTCTACATGCATATTGCTCACTGCAATTTATCAAGTTAAACAAAGACAGACACATTCACATTAGAGTTAGACCCAAGCCTTGCATAGTTGCAACTTGAAGATGTACGGAACCAGAGTCACCATGTACACCCATAATGCAATTACAAAACTAAAAGCTTGGAATTTTCTCTGCAAAATAAAAATATTAAAGAAACTATTTGTTATATTGTGCCAACAGCCAATTACATTCATGCACTTTGTTTGGATGGAGCGATGGAAAG